CCCTAATGCGTGGCCAGCCAACGCAGTTCTACTCTTTCCAGCTTCCTCTTCATAGGTAAAACACACCATGCAAATTTCAATGTAAGATAAAGCCACAAGAATTGAACAATGAAAATATATACGTAGAAACCATTTGTTAGCCACAGCGGTGCCTTTTCAAAGTTGTTTATTTTAAAACATTAAACCCAAGCTGAATAGAAACCACAGGAATTACATTGAGAATCGTTTCTGTTTAATATCTGCAGAACAGAAAGAACACAAACCAGTAAAAAATAGCTACAGTACAATGTAATAAATCAACCAAAGTCAAAGAAAAGATTAAAATAATAATAATAATAATAATCAGGCTCACCCCTCAGTTTAAACCCCCATGAAATTTCAAAATGTTTGGGGTTAAGTGGAGAACTTTGAAAGAAGCTAGTCATGTCTAAAGGCTTTAAAAAATTATATATATATTTAATATACATATATTATATATGTATACATAAAGTAGAACGCTATAGAACCATTGTGGTTTAAAGCAAAACCAGATGGAAAAAGCCAGCGGAGTTTTATTGATAGAATTCTCTGCACGTCTCAGAAAAGGGGAGATCGACAGAGTCAAATTCACAAATGTTTCCCAGGTTAATTCTAATGACAAAGGATAGGATAAACAGAATTGCTGGTTGCCAATGGACCACAGAACCAAGCTCTCTGGTTCTTGTGCCTTTTGTAGCAAATGGGAGGGCAGAAATCAGAAGGTGAACCTTGGCCCTGCGTCAGAAAGATGCCATCGCCTGCTGATTTAGGCTGGCGGGTTGGATGGTAAATAAGCCAAGGTTGTACGGTGCTTTGAATCTGCGCTCTGATGTACCTGTTTGCCTTCAAACCCAACATGCTGCAAAGCCCGGAGTCATGAAATAGGTGGCCACAAGGGCAAATTCGACTAGTTGGCAACCCTGCCAACAGACAACTGAATGCAAAGATTGATTGGAGTGAGGGAAGAGAATAAAACGGGCACGGTTCTTGACAATAACATCAATGTTCCTGGAAATCAGAGCCTTGAGAAAACAAAGCAGGCTTCCCCACGTTGGGGCCCTCCAGCTCTGAGGGATTACAACCCCCAGAATCCCCACCCAACCTCTCTGAAAAGCTGAGTTGATTCGGGATGATGGAAGTCCAACAGAATTAGACTGGGGAAGCCTGAGAAATGGATCTGGGTGTCCCAGAGGGAGGAGTGAAAAAAGAAGGAAAGCCCGCATTGCATAGAGAGAAAAGTGTGGTTGTTGAATACACAAAGCACCAAGAACTAGCCTGACACTAGTCCAGCAGCTGCTGGTGGTTGTTGTTTTGTTGTTAAAAGTTAAGAAAATATTCAGCACTGCTTACAGCTGTCCAAGTTACAGCCATGCTAAAACAGGTTCTAAGATTGGTCTCTGAGTGTGTTTGTGTGTATCTGTTTGGTCCAAGAAGTACACCATTTTTCCTCTTAGGAACTTTTTGAGATTGGGAGATTGTTTACCGGGGAAATCTGAGGACTAACAACGATGGAATGATCTTCCACCACCACACGCACGTAGCTGGGAGCAGAGGGGGGTCCCATCAATTTCCCAGCTCCTCTCCTACCCGCACAGGGAATCACCTCTCCCAACAAGAACTCATTAGCTACAAGCAAGAGCACCTGCCTTAGACTGAACCCAAACACTGGTCCTCTTAACTCAGTACTCTAACAATCGCTGGTAAGTGGTTCAAGTTTTCTGCTCCATTAAGAAATGGCAAGGGCTGGATCTCTTGCCTGCAATGCCCTTCCACTGAGCTATTGGCCACTTATATGAAACTGAGGACCTAGCCAACGACCTGCCTTCTCACACGGAGGAGCTGGTTGCAGCGATCAGTGCTCCAAGGATCTCAAAGCTAGCTACACATCACAACGACATGCCCACAACACCTAGGATCCAGAGATCTGCTCCAGGGCTGCCTAAACTCTTTCAGGCCCGAGAGGTTCACTCATAATCAACTTTGCTGATTATGTGTGGCCTGAAGAACCACTCTTTAAGAAACATGCCTAAAAAATGAGCACAGGCCTAGATGGGTTCTTTGAATCCTTGCCTACCTACCTGGTCATCAATTACAGGATGAAGAACAGAAACAGAAGGCCAAAGGGTCAACTTTGCTGAAGAACAGGCTTTTTTTAACCCAGTGTGGGTCCAAGCCAGAACATTCTAGGACTCTTGAAGACAAAGGCTTGCAAGGTGCAGGAAGCTGGAATCCAAGTTTCTCCATTGTCACTCATCATAGGACCTGAACTGGAACTGCTCTCCTGACACCCACCATTCATCTGGAGGAGGATGCCAGACTATGGGAGACGCAGCCAAGAGAGCCCCTTCTCTTAAACAAGGGCTCAAAAAGGGTGGGGTGGGGACAAAGCTGCGGAACTCCAGCCTGGTTTCATCTCTATGGCTTTTAAAAGACTTTTTTTTGGCACACACTGAAAGGCTGCATCATGTAAGCAGATACAATCAAGCAATGCATGAAACCTTCACCGCAGGAAACATCTGACATGACCTGATGCACTAAGCCCTAGGTCTCAATCTTTCAAAAAAGAACTATGCATGGCAGGTCAAGCAAGTGTTGAAGAAGTGCACAAAGGCAACATTCTTTCTGCTTCAGTGGCCTCCATCCATGGTCAGAGCTGAACCATGAATCAAAGCCATCATTCAACCCTCTCTTGCCTTGCTTGCTACCAGACACTGATCACACCCCACCATCTTCTGCCCTTCCTCTCTGCTCAAGCTGTACAGCGCGGTAACACAGAGATCACAAGGATGTCTCGCACTTCCCAAATGCACTGAGCACCATTAAGGAAACACCAACAGTTATTCACAACTACCCAACCTAACCTAGTAGACCTAAGAAAGCACCAACATGCTCTTGGGAAAGAAAAGGTCATGAGTCCTTGGTGGGTCAGAGATTGGCAAGCACAACAGATCTACATGGCAAGTGTGCTGGTTCTGAGCAGCAATCGAATTTAATGCACACGTGCCTGAGTTTCTGTGATGCTCCAGAAATTTGCCCTCAGTGAGATTGTTCCAAATTCGGCCAGGTTCAAGCTGCTCATTCACGTTCCTTCCATTACAGTTAAACTGGCCGTACCTGAGGTATTTAATTAAAACATGCCCATCAGATTTGCTAAAAAAATATATTGAAGACAGTTGAGAAGAATCTAGATCAATGTTTCTCAACCTTGGCTGCTTGAAGATGTGTGGACTTCAACTGGCCAAGGTTGAGAAACACTGCTCTAGATCCTCAAGTTTGGATATATGGATGAATACCATTTTTTTACCTTAAACCTTTTCTTAAGAAGCAAAAAAAAATTCAAAATGAAGTGAGCTAATATTACAGACAGGATACAAAACACTACACTTCGGACAGCACACACAAAAATAAATTCACAGCCAAGTCTTGATTCGATTTTTTTTTCTTTTTAACAATTACAATGCAGTCTTCAACACTGACGCAAGGAGTCCATCATGCTATATACATTTCACATTGTGGAGATGCTGTGTGTGCTTGAAAAGGGTTCGTGGTCCACATTTTCCTGTTGTTTGTTTTGAAGAAAGTGCTGGGATGGTGTCACGGGAAAACCAACTCCATTGCCAATGGCTACCAACCCTTGGAAGGGAGGAAGAAAAAGGAAGAGTTTTCATGGCTCCAGTTTTCCATACCAACGTACTGCCCCCTCCTTCAGATTCTTGCCAAGTGGTATCAGCGTCTACCCGTCACTTCTCTTGAATTTCATAACTGTCATCCTAGGCCAAAACCCACGGTGGTGGTTCTGCCATGACTGAGTGGCCCAAGAAGTCAACAAGGCCATCCTGAGATCTCAACACTTTACTTGAAAAAAAACATGGAGACAAAATAAGAGAACAGGAAAAGAAAATCCTTTATGGGGTTCACCTGCTATACCACAGAAGCCGTGATGAAGACACCAGGCCAGCAAAAAGTCAACACTCTGCCAGCCAATAATTGCGGGATCAATCTTGGGAGACGGCAGGGGTGAAAAGCCCTTAGCAGTCGAATGGTTGCCACAGATGCTTGGCACGAGGGAGAAGATGGGAAAGTGGTCCCAGCTTCTCTTTAAAGGCATACAAGGGACCATGCACACACACATTTTCTGAAACAGAGCCATTTAGGCATGCCCCACAAGATCTGCACGTGCTGTTGGCGTCCCAAGCAATCCATATATACACGTGGGTGTACAGGCACACACCCAGTTGACTCTTGCCCCCGTTAATAGAAGTGCACCAAAGTTCGGTGTTACAAACGAGGTAATTCTGTGACTCTGTTAGCTGAAAAGTCAGGCCGAATTCAGAGTCCCTGGAGACAATTCACCCACCAAACTCCAATCTGACAGCTTGGTCTTCTCCACCAGGTTGTCTTCTGTCCACGGGAAAGCACCAAGGACATCTTCAGTTAGTAATCCATGAGGGTACACCAAGCTGAAGCTTCTTCACAATCTCAGTGGCGATTACTTCTCAGGGGAAAGTCAATTTCTGTAGTGGTTATTACAACATACATTGCTGGTCCCTTCCTTAAGATCATCATACCCATGTTTTCTTCTGCCTGAGAAAGACAGAGGAGGAAGGCTTGTCTTCCTGATCTTTACAAACTAAACTACCAAGAATGTTGTTCTGAAGATCTGTGGTCATTTGCACGTGATGAATTTTCCTTTTAAGGGCACGCTTCCAAAGGTGGTCAATGAAGGAATTTATTTTGAATGTGCAGCTTTTGCACAAATACCTGCACATTTGGGAACAGATCAGATTCCTCTCCTAGTACTACCAGGTGCTGTGCTGCGTTCCTGGGATCTAGAGAAATGTTACGCAGCTGATTAGGGCTACCTGCACAGACATAAGTTAAGGTTTACATGACCCTGATGCTCAAGAAATACCTAACAGTGGTTTTGTATCTTCCTGTTCTGTTGCAAATTGCATTCTAAGGATGTCAGAGCCCTCTAATATCCTAGGTTTTCAAAGCAAGCAGGCAACTGGGGGGGGGAGGGGGGGACACCTCTCCAGATCATCTCTGCCTCACCCCCCCCCCAGTAAAAGGAACTAATTTTGAAGGAGAAAGCAAGCAAAACTTCCTCTCAAATGTGCAAAACTTGAAAAGGAAATCTTCATGCTTTAAAATGAGAATGTCCAAGAGATAAGCAGGAATAGGATGTAGCTCTTCAATGTCTTAAGGATTCTCACCTAGCAGGAACACCGGTTGGAGCCCTACGGCAATTTTCTTTCCCCCAACCTGCTGCTGATCTTTGCGGTTGACTGACAAGTTAAGAAGCCTGTGGGACACAGGTGGTTTGTTCAAGTTCAGGTGAGAGACTAGCAGGAGACACCTTCCACTCCTGTACCCCAAAACTGCCTTGACGTTACAATATTTTATCTTTGCTTTCTGATCCAAGGATAAAGGAGCAGCGACAACTGTCCCTTCTCCAGGTAAGGTCAACACTTCCAGGGACTCGTCTATCCTAACGCTCAGAAGAAGCCCTAATGAAAAGCGTTGAGAAGTCTAACGTGTTAGGATCCCTTGCGATGAAGCTCAGTTTTGCTGGCAGTTCCTCTGCCTACTGAATTCTTGCCCCAAAACTAGACATTTCACAGGCCTCCCCCCACAACACCCGCAATACTCCTTAAATCTTTTCCTGGAATATTTTGGAACCAAAAGGGTGGTAGTTCCAGTTTTATGACTTCACATTAGTCTCAAAAGATGTCTGCTGAGTGCAGTTAGGAAATACAAAACCAAAGTAGGAAGGCAGGTACAGCACAACCAGGGGGTGTTCACAGAAGTGGGTGTGTGTATGCATGCGAGCGCATACATCCAACCACACACAAGCTGGTGCAGGAAGCCCCCTACTTCTCTCCAGGACTGTAAGTCCAGATACTGAGAGAGAGAAGTAAGCCTGTAGCAGAGGTATCCAAGAACCACAAAGGGTTAAATTCGCAGACCATGTTGTGTAGTATGGAAGGAACTGAGGACCTGCCAAGATCCCAACTCTGCCGAGATCCCAACTGAGGACCTGGCGAGATCCCAACTGAGGACCTGCTAAGATCCCAAGTGGACCAATGCCGGCAGGAGAAAAGAGGATGCCTCTTGAACAGCTAGAGAGAGATCTGCAGGCAAGGCTGGGACACATTGGAGCTTCATGGCGGTGTGCGCATTAAAGATGGCTTCTGTAGTTTCAGCGTGCCACATCGAGAGCACTTCTACACATTGATCCAGTTGTAATTCATCTGACTCATCAGACCGTTTTGGATGGATTAGAGAGAGGCCTTGGGGAGGAGACGATCAACTTCGCAATTCCCGGCTATCGAAAGCTGATCCACAGACAGCAGAGGAACACACAGGAACACTGGGTCTTCAGCATGTGCACATGTGCATGTGGATTAGTTTCCCTCTCTGTGGAGAGAGAGGTGCAAGGCAACAGAGCCTTGATCTCCAATAAGCTTCTACTGAGGTTTCTTCAAGTGGACATGGGCCAGGTCAAGCTGGGAAAGAAGCAGCAGGAAATGCAACTGAGCTGGATCCTGGACTGGGGGAAAAAAGCAGGACAGATCTGCGAAGACAACATAGGCTGGCAACATTGGCCCTTTCGTTCCATTCTTCACTTCCACACATCCTAGTTTTCAGTGCACGCTGCCAGAATCCGGCCGAGGCTGGTTGGTGGCGAGGTATTTGGCTCTCATGCTGGAGGTGTACTAGAGAAACGAGAAAAACAAGAGGAAAAAACAAGAGGACCATCAATTCACACAACTGGTGAGAACTACTTAAGACACAGGTCCTGATGGACCTCTTAGAACTTACAAATGAGTGAGCTGGTGCTCAACCGAAGATCACAAACACAAGGAAACATGGTTTTGCAGATGTAGTAAAGATGCTTACACTCTACACCTTCCTCTTCCTGTATTTCTATAGGGGACTTCTGAACATTGCTAAAATTCTGTAGCAAGGAATTCTGACTCTCTCACAAACTACACAACTCATTTGAGGAAAGCCCTAGCAGTTCGGTCAACAGTTTCTCGTACAGAGAAACAGTATCTTGCCTTGTAAACAAATTGAGGAATAAATACAGTACTCAGGCCAACTGTTCCTGCCTTAAAGAAGTGAGGGGAGAAAAATGGCAGATATGGCCAACTTAAACATTGAAAGTTAGGGTTCATCCAGGTTCTTCTTTTCAATCAGGCAAGGGAAGAGATCAGTTAATTAAAATATAGTTCTATGGCAAGCAAAACCAGGAAGGATTTAGGCTAGAGTATGTGTCAACGTTTCTCAACCTTGGCATCTTTAAGATAGGTGGACTTCAACTCCCAGAATTCCCCAGCCAGCGTAGCTGGCTGGGGAATTCTGAGAGTTGAAGTCCACCTATCATAAAGTTGCCAAGGTTGAGAAACGCTAGTAGGTGTCTTCCAACAGCAGGCTTTCCAAAAAGAGAACCACTGACAATGTTTATCCAATCTTGGTTGCATCCATACTGGTGTAACAAATGTTATGCCAAGTCATCTTCAGATACTGTTGAAATACACCTGGTGTAAAGGATGAGCAAACAGCTGGGGTGGGTGGAAAAGGAGCACCCCTCCTTTTTGAAAATCTAATGCACGATGTGCAGGTCTTCCTCAATGTGTTTTCGGCCATTTGTAAAGACACTTGAAAGAATGCATTCTAAAAACTTGCCAAAGTAATAACTATTTAATAAAGAATTAATGGAGGGGAAAAGAGAGCTTGGGTTTATTATACTATTTTCTAGAGTTTTTTCCCTTTGATTTTAATGGTATATTAGATGGCTAACAGTTCTATGACCATTTTTCTTCTGGTAGCTGATTTGATATAATAAAGTAATTTTTCTGCATGACCCAGACTAAATTTTCAATAACAGAGCAAGCTTTTATTGTACTGAGACTATTTCGGGTCCAATTTCAATATATTCTGGGCACAGAGCAACTCTACTAATCAAATTTATTGATTTCTCAATAAGCAAACCTCTTTCCAAAATTATTTTGAGGATTATGGATACTTCTCAGCACAGTTCTCGTATTTCCATTATGACCACTGAAATGGTTTGAACAAAAGAAACTCAGAGAAAAATAACATCTGATAGACATAAAGGATAGTTTTCAGTTCCACTGAGAACAGAACAAAGCCTTAAAATGTGATTCCATTTTAGTATATTTGCAGCTATGCTGAACTTCTGGATTTGCTTAGCAACTAAAGGCAACACATCACTGTTTTAATTCTCCTTTCGCGCACAAGTGAGCCAGATTGTTTGATGTTTAATATGTAAGTTTGTTGCTGATACGCATTTGGGCTGCAGGAACTTCTATCAGGTATTACCTGCACTAAAAACATTTCATTTTGGGTGATTTAGATGACGAATTACATTTTAGGAATTTCTCTAACCTTCCCATCAATAGCTGCAAAATTTTGTGTTTGCATATTCCAAACAGGAGAACCGGTTTGGTTTAGTGGTTAAAAGCAGTAGGTTAGAAATCAGAAGACCATGAGTTCTAGTCCTGTCTTAGGCACAAAGCCAGCTGGGTGAGTTTGGGTCAGTCCCTCTCGCTCAGCCCTGGGAAGAAGAAGACAAGGGCCAACCACTTCCAAAAATCTTGGGAAGAAAACTAACCAGGGACTAATCATCACCAGGAGTCAAGACTGACTCGAAGGAACCTCAATCAATCAATCAATCAATCAATCAATCAATCAATCAATCAATCATTCTGAGTAAGATTATGTAAACTGGCACTCCAATTAGGACATCAACTAAAGTTTCATTTTTTTGGTCTTCTCCCTGCAGGTGGCAAAGAAGGTCTTCCTGAAGGTGGTTTCCAAAGCCCATGGGAACGAGTGACATTCTTCATAGCTATATCTTTTGGTGTTCCTTCTCACAATTCTTTCTGATCTTCTCTATTTGTATAACATGCTGTGGGTCCCCACCCCCCCTTCAGTGACCCTTGTGATCACAGGAGGTCTCTGACACTTCTCAGAAAAATGTGACATCTGCTCTGGCCCTTCTTGTGGTAGACTTCCTTGTAGCAGGAAAGGCGTGTTAGTCTCTGGTAGGCCAAAAGCAGAAGGAATCTGGTAGCATCTTTACTAATACATTTTATTCAAAGGCATAAACTTTTGTGAGAGAAAGCTGATGCCTTTTAATAAAATGTGTTAATCTGAAATGGTGTTACCAGACTTTGCTGATTTTAGGCAGCATTGTACAATCCACTTCTTTTTCCATTTTTGTCGCCAGTGGTAGGAAGACTGTGAAAACCACCAGTTGTAGATTACACTGCACGGTTGTTTCTGATTTCTGGTTTGGCCCTTAATAATAAGGCAAAGGACCTATCCAAGAACAGAAATAATTGAAAACAGCAATGCACACTGATCTGTTGTATGTGAAGAACAAGAGAAAAGACTATAAGCATCTTAAACATCACACAGAGGGAGAACACCCTTTTGAATCAGAACCAAGAGGAACATCTTTAGGAGATTTTATGTTTCTGGGAAGGCTCTGCTTATAAAAAAGCTTTGTTGTTGTTTCCAACAGAAAAGAGGGTGACTCACCTATGACAATCACCAGGGGAGGCAGCTGATGAGAGAGTGAGGCCCCTAATGCCAACTCTACCCCTTTTGTAAATATATCATGGATTTGTGTGCCTGAAAGGAAGGGGCAGAACATCCCAACGCATGTTTCATGATTCTGACAAGATCTCTGGATTCTACAGACACCTCTGAACGTGTTCTTAAGCTTTCATTTTATGCAGTTTAGCATTAATGGTAACCTTGCAGCACCACCCTCAGGATCAATATCCTATGCACCCTACCACTGAAATCCACACTAGCACTCTGGATTTTTCAACACCGAATATAACTATCCTTGCATCACTGCTTTTCGAGAGGAGTTGGCACTCTCGTTTGACCAAGGACCTTACAAATAAGATTGAGAACATTTTCTCATACTTCAGGCCCTAGTAAGAAATGTTTATGTTGGGCTCTACCCTGTCAAGTTCTCTTCCAGAAAAATAAGTTGTCTGAAATACAAAGTTTGTAATACAGAACATTAAGAAAGAAACGAGAATGCAGTGAACAAACAGCCATGGGAATCTGGAATTCCTGCCCCAAGATTTGATGGACCAGGCGATGCAGAGACAGAGACGGTCACGGGAGTAAAAGGAGGCAGTGACATTTGGAAGAGGACAGGCAAACATGCATCAAATGACATACACAGATCCCTCCTCATGCACTGGACAACGTGCAGCCCAAGCAAGGCATGTTTCTTTTGACAGCTCACTCCAGAGGTTCTCAAGCATACATCAAAGCAAAGCGAGCCACGCAAGGAAGATGCCAGTACGAAGACCAAGCAAATGGCAGCAGAGGTAAGGTAGGTGTGTCTCTTCCTGGGGGTTTCGTTTCCTAAATCCTTCACAAAAGTTAGTATAAGTCTCTTCTCAGAGTTCCCTGGGTGTTCACCAGGTTGTAGATATTTTGCACCAGTCTGGTTTAACCATGTTTTAGCAGAAGGTAGCAAGCTAGCCTTTGCTTGTTGAAGACCAGTGTTTCTGGCAGGGTTCTGGGAGAGCCAGATGTTTCTTGCTGCAGGATCCTGAACTCATCTAGATTGGGTGGTATGCCTGAAAGACTATGTCTAACTCTTGGTGGAATTTCCCTGGGTCTGTGGGTATCAAGGGGACATTATTAACCATATTGCAGAGATCAGGAGGAGACCACGGAACATGAACATACATGGTCTTCCTGGCCACCAGGGGACTGGGCCCTACCAAACGGGTTTCGTGGAGGATTAGCGGACTGTTGGTAGCTTCTGTATTCAAGGTTTACGTCTACATTATGAAAGCCGGAGCAAAGAAGTAGCACCCATTTGGGAGATATGGAAGAAGTCAGCCTCATGAACCAAAATAGGATAGGATGTGGCTCACGGACCAATCAACCAACCCACTCAAATAATCCTCATTTGCTTTGCATTAGAACCGGGGAAGGCATTTCATAGTTTCTGTTCTTAGATAAATAAGAACAGAACTGTACTTTGCCATTATGTTAGCTAGTTTCTTTTAAGGAGGTGAAACCTGCGCCAGATTCAACTTTATCCAAACTTCTAGGCTGGGATTCAAAACAGCAGTCAACGCCTTTGATAAGTCAAAGTTGCTGCATCTGAAGCTGGTTCATCCACAGCCAAATCAGGTTAAAAAAAAAAGCTGTTTTAAAGCTATGAAACTCTGCTTGCAATTGCAGGGAGGTGATCTCAAAACACAGTTGGCCAAATCTTAAGACAGGGTTTCTCAACCTTGGCAACTTTAAGACATCTGGACTTCAACTCCCAGAATTCCCCAGCCAGCATATGTCCACATGTCCACACCCCATATGCTGGCTGGGGGATTCTGGGAGTTGAAGCTTCTCCTAACAAATCTTAAACCCAGAGTACTCAAGACAGGGTTTCTCAGCCTTGGCAACTTTAAGACATCTTGACTTCAACTCCCAGAATCCCCCAGCCAGCATATGTCCACATGTCCACACCCCATATGCTGGCTGGGGAATTCTGGGAGCTGAAGTCCACATGTCTTAAAGTTGCCAAGGTTGAGAAACCCTGTCTTGAGTACTCTGGGTTTAAGATTTGTTAGAAGCTTCAGTTAGCAATTTTATGGAACCGCCTTGGGCGTCCTGGGATATTATTGGCAATCTTGGTTTTCATCTTTGTACGGTGCCCAGAGTCTCTGTTGTGAGATGGGTGGCCATCTATGCTATTTAAATAAATAAATCCACTTTTTTTTTTAAAGACATAACACACTGCAGAAACTGTGACACAAATGGAAAGAGATTTGGGGAGAGACAAATAGGTGTTTCGCAAGAGAGTTCTGCAAAGTTGCAGTGAGCTAAACCATATCCCTCTACGTGGGACTTCAACTGGTGAGATGTAGAACCAATGCAGTTTCAGCAACTTGGCGGTATCAAACATGAGGCTTTCGAGAGAGAAAGAGGTGGGTCCCTTTTGATTGCCAAGCTCCTGTTCCTCTTCAGGAGGGGGGCTCCGATTCACCACAGCCACAAGGACCGCAGGGAGCTTGGCCATGAAAAGATGGTGAGGTCACTCCATTACTGAGCACCAGGGCGTAAACCCTGGGCAGGAGAAGGACAGGGTGGGGGGAAGTGCAGGGAGAGGAAACGTGGAGTCTCGGGCACGTGGCCTGAGGAAGTCAGTGCAGGATGGCAGGGTCAGGTGGGTGAGTGGGCGTTCAGCGAGAAGGACCTTATTTCAGTACCTGTTCCGTTTTTGCGGGCGCTGCTACCAGTACGTCCGAGCACTGTCCGAGGGCTTAAACTGCCAGCTCATATGGCTGCTACTGTCCAGCGCAGCCAAATACAGCTGTGATGATGCAGGAAAAGAGAGAAAAAGAGAAAGTGCAGCCTCAACGTGCATGAAAAACTCAGTGCAAGCATGTGACCCGTAGTGGTGGGTATGTCAATGATGGGGAAGGCTACCATCCTTGGAGAATAGACCTTGGAGCCAGGAAGGGGAGGAAACAAAAGAAGGGATGACTCAGGGGACAAAAAGAATAGACAAACGATGAAGAAGACGACTTCTGCTCTAGGGGAGATTCGGACTTGGTTTCCACAAGTTGAGCCAAAAAGGAACGGATCCTGAGGTGCGCTATTCTATTCGGCTTTTGCTCGGCATCCTCCTGTTGGTGGATCTCATGGCTTGGAGTCAGCAAACACCAACCTGGATTTGAGTCCAATTCGGCATACACGCTGATCTGGATTTTGTTCAGCCTTAGCCAAATCTGATCTCATCAGAGAAGCTGGTGGTACATGGTTTGGCTAAGTCGCTCATTGATCCTTTTGACAAGGCTGCTTTCAACAAAGCAAATGGTTGCATGCTAAGAAAGAAGACTCCAATCCCATTGACATGGGGCCTACGTCTTTCACATGTGAAGTAGACACCACTTCTGTGTGCTATAGAAGAACACTTCAATTTTTACAAGCAGTGTGTGTCTTCTTGCCCTCAACCTCCAGAGCATGGACCACCCGAACTCCTAGATTTAACTCAGATGTATTGGTGGTACATGCTCTATCATGGGGGCAACGCCTCTCTTCCTTTAAGTTTAGGTAGGACACCAAAGATATTCTATATATCCCAGATCCTGAACTAAGACACAGCATTCCCATTATATCAACTTGAAGTTCCTTTCTCTTTTGAAGTCTACATCTCTCTCCTTCCAAATCTAGAACGCAACCCTGCTAGAAATGTCTTGAGGACCACAACTGTTTCTTTCTAATCTTCAGAGAATTAGGATTCTTTTTGGCCAAAGGAGAACAGTAGAAAAAACATTACTACTAAATTCTGCCCACAAGAAACTATGACAGTTGAGTATGTTGTATTAAAGGTACCAAAACACCTGTAGCAACGAATTCCACCGTCGCCATATGCAGAGTCAGAAGAATAAACATTTCCCAAAAAAGTGTTTGCTCTAGAAAGCTAGCAGTTTAAATCTTTCTCAAAGTGGTTAAGAATAACTACATATGTTTCTAACTACGGCTAGAACCACCATCCTAAGCATCTGTTTTCTCTTGACAAGACTAAAGTTCCTTCTACAAGACCAGCCACTGCAAACGTGCCTTCTCAAACAAACAAAAAAAAGATTGATTTTTGTCCTTTTAATATACTGAAGACATAAAGCACAACTGATCACTGGGAAGACCAGAGTATTCCATGCTGGTAGAAGACTGTTGGATTGAAACCAGCAGCACACAGAGTTGATAAATCGAGAAGATTGCAACTGATGAAATTAAAGTAGAAATAAAACCAAGTTTGTTTATAATCGCTTCTTGCCCAAAGAGAAACTTCCATAAAATGCATGATTTTTTTTTTTCTGGAAATCAGATTCTCCCCCTTCAAAGAGGGAAATTATGAATATTAAAACCCAAAAAGAAATTAAACAGAGAACGGAACATTTTTCTGTGTTTCTTTCAAGGCAGGTTTTGGTGTCACCATAATTCCACGTACCCCGTGGCCAGATGTTACCTGCAGAATTCTGCTTGTGGTCCACAGCTCTGTGGAGGCCCCATCGTCACAATAATGTTCTCTTGGCGCATTTTGCAGGCAAGTTAATGTGCGTGTGCCTGCCTATAAGACAGGTTCCATGCTTAACGATGGGAAGGTCGGGGAGGGGGGGAATGCACTTGTCTCTTTCATTTATTTGTGATGCAGATCCTTGTAGGGCAAGAAGACCCAGTAGCTGTTTGTAAAGATCTCCAGAGCAGATTGTGGTTTTACCCTTCAAAGAGGAAGACCAAGACTTACAGAAGGAGGTGGAGATTCCCGACCGATCAGAGGGGTGTTCTCACAGCGGGGATTCTGGAAATTTGCATTCTGGCTCCTGGGGGTAAAAGAATCATATTGAGAACTCGGAAATGTGATATTATTCAAGAGGTCAAGGAAGAGTGGTCGGAAATGTGTGATCTCTCCATCTTGGAGAAGGCAACATTTTCTGTTAACCAAAGGCTGCAGCAATGTATGTTACTATGGCAGAGAATGGGTGATATTTTACAATAGTATTTTGTACTGTTCATATTATAGTCATGTATTCATTAGTTAAACCAGTGGCTACTGATAAGTAGAAGATATAAGGTCCATTTTTCTTTCTTCTTCTTCTTTCTTAGTGTGTATTTTTAGTTTGTTTGGGAGTCTCTCTTTTCTCATTTTTTTTAGTTTAAAGATTGTTTTGTGAATTGTGTATGCATAAAATAAGTAAACCCTAACCCTAAGTAAATACTAAGACTTTTTAAAAAATCATGGCTCCTGTGGGGGGGAGGGGGAAGAGAGGGAGAAAGAAAAGTGTATGCATGAAAGAATAACCCAGTTTCTGGTGTATTCTGAAAGAGTCCCACAAATGAATCCGTGACCATTAAAAATAAAATGTCTATGGAGTTCGTATCAACCCTGCAAGAGTCACCCTTTTTCTTGACTTCACAGCAGGTGAAAAACCAATTTGTTTTATAAACAATAATTTAGTGGAAGTGTTGGCATGATGCTCAAAAAATTATACTTTTTTTAAAAACATAAATACACTCTGCTTGATATCTTCTACCAATGTCATATCGAGCAACAATTGTATAACCTCAGTAATTAGCTGGGCATTCATAGAGAATATCGCTTTGGAAAATGTAACTTTGTTTTACATAAAATAAAAGGATTATAATAAGACTAAAAATAAGCAAAAAGTACTGTCAATGTGCCTTTTAAAAGAGGAAAAGGAATATATATCTCCATCAATCAAGATCTGCATATCTGCATATGCTGCATTATTGCTAAATAAAGCTCTAACTGTAAAAAAAAAAAAAAGAAGAAGATGATTTATATGAGGACTAGAAAAGAGCCGGTTTGATGTAGTGGTTAAGACACCAGGCTAGAAGCCGGGAGACCGTGAGTTCTAGTCCCGCTTTAGGCACGAAGGTGATCTTGGGCCAGTCACTTTCTCTTAGCCCTAGGAAGGAGGCAATGGCCAACCACTTCCAAAATCTTGCCAAGAAAACTGCAGGGACTAGTCCAGGCAGTTGCAAGGAGTCAAAACCTGACTCGAAAGAAATAATAATAAAAAAGAGAGACCACCCACACACATCCATCTATCAGTGAGAATGGCAGCCCCTTTTAGGGGCTCACCCGCAGCACCCTTACATTTTGGGGAAATGATTCCTTCCTTCCTTCCTAGGAACAACAGTGGGACTTCTTAAACCTTGCAGCAGGCAAGCCTCTGTCTCACGCCTTTTTTTCCTACTGGCAAGAATTCCCAAAGGAGCACAGAAGCTCTTCCCATTCAACTCTACAGGTATCCCCTGATATTCTTCTAATACTTTCTGAAGCTGTGGACCCTGGTTGTCTCGAGTCCTATTATCTCCAAAGCCATAAACGACCCAGAATGACCTAGATAAGGAGAGGCGCCAATGTGGGTGAATCTGGGTCATCACACGCGGTCTGCCGGTCTGCGTGCTTTATGGTGGCCTACTCTGGCTAGCCACAGCTTTCTAGCCAAGATATCAGAAGATGTTCAGAAGAAGCACTGAAGATGTTACCTAGCCGGGTAATGAAACCTTTGCAAGAAAACAACCAAGCTCAGGGAACCCCAAGGACGCCACAAGGTATCAGAGTAGGAAGCTGTGACCCTCGGCTGCAACCCCCGAGCGCCACCACCACTCACATGTACTCTGTGACGGGAGCGTTGCTGACGGTGTGCGCAGCTGCTGGGATGCTGGACTCACTGCCATAGCTGCTCCCGCAGCTGTAAAGACTGGGCATGTGCACTCGGTACAAGTTGTCGTGAGTTTGCCGGTTCCCCTGGGCGGTAGATTCTTCCTCGCCGTCGTCTTCAGTGCTCCTGCGAAAGGGGAGAGAGAGGGAAATCAACAGGTTTCTTTTGAGGCCGCTTCCAAGAAAACACAGCAAGCATGTGGCATTGCTAATCTCGGCATCCTCCTCCACGCGTGTGCCTCTAAATCATCACAGGCAGGGGAGTTGGAGACGGCAACAGACGGCCCCCCACAACAACCCTCCACCCTGAGAAACTTCGAACTCCCACCGGCACCATCTGGGCTGTCTCAGCCCACCCTATTCCCCCAGCGCCTGGGAGCCAAGACAGAATCAGTGCAGGTGACGAGAAGAATCCTGCTAAGGACGCAATGTTGATCCAGGAGGCTGGCATTCCATTGAAACAGTGGGAAGAAATGGGCTTTTCTTTTTTTGGAAACTACTGCACCAGACTAGCATCCACACCAGCATTTTAGTGACAATTGACCATTCTCCTGAGCCTGGGTGAGGAGATATATCCTTGCAGGATCTACTGGGGGTGTTTCGCAAAGGGTTGTACTAGATATTTCCTCAAAATAAGGCCTGGGCCCTGGCCACCCGATTCAAAATTTGCTCGAAGAAGGACACAGGCGTAAAAGAACTGGATTCCAGGTCCCTGGCTCATTTGCTGCGAACACCACAAGGTGGCAGTGAACTTTTGCTGTAGAACACCCATGTGAGTCAGCGAAGGCACAGCCACCAGCACAGCTCAGAGAGCAGACTCCACGTTTTGCAGCTGCAGAAAGTGGGGCCGTCCTCCGGGGTCGATCAAAAGCATCAAGATGGCAGCTGTGGCTGTACGAATGAAGGCCCGACCCTTTTAAACACGTGTTGACTCCCCCCTGCCCTGGAGAAGAAGAGTTTTTTTTAAGCCGTCTTCTGTATGAATGGCAATGCAAGCACCTTGGTCTTTCTGGTCAGTCGCTCCTCCTTAGCCTTTGCCGTTTCTATTTTAATGTATTTTTTGGCAGCCTACACAGGTCAGGAAAGAGATCCCCCTAAATATATTATCAATATGGCCTGCTGGAATGGTTTAGTAGATGGACTCTATCTACAAAATCAGAACCCACAAGTCTTTCCTGACACGGGACGCTACCTACCTCTTCTGCTGCCAAGTGTGTGGGACGCTACACACTATAGAACTGAACATCAGGGCCGTGACAAAGGAGAAGAGAACCAGGTAGATAAGTCCTTCCACACCATCATAACAGAAGCCAGTCAGAGCTTGGATGTAATCCTAAAGGGAAATAAATACATTATTTCAAGCTCCAAAGGAACACTGATCCAACTGGGTTTCTGAACGGCACGGCTGCATCCTTGAAATACACATAAAATTGTGCATGGTTCTGCAGGCCCTTCTGGTTTCTTTTAAGTGCTTCTTAGTTCTCATCCAAATATAAAGATAAAGCCACACAGACATGTATTGAGAGCCAGCTGTTGCATAGCAACTAGGAGGTTAAACTGCATCTCCGCCACAGCCCAACGTCGTCCTCGGCTTTACTCGCAGACAATATCTAGATAACAACGTTAGATCTTAAAGGACTGTTGTCAGAACAGAACATGTCCAAGGCACGCTGAACACGAGCGTAATTTCTTTCAAGACTTGAACTATGTGTGTTTGGAAAAAGGGAACCGGGCAACATGGTCCTCCTCTCCAGCTCTTGCTTTTGAACAGCCTCCTCCTCCAGTGGTCCACAGAATTGTTCTCCAATCCATGTCAGCCGAGGACAAGAAAAACGTAGCTTGCTAACGTGGACTTTTTATGGCAGACTCAGTTTACTACAGCGTTTCTCAACCTTGGCCACTTGAAGATGGGTGGACTTCAATGCTCAGAATTCCCCAACCAGCCATGCTGGCTGGGGAATTCTGGGCATTGAAGGCCAACCATCTTCAAGATGCCAAGGTTGGGAAAAGGT